GCTGGAGACTAGTGAAAGGAGGCAGCTTTTAAAATGAAAATACCCTAACTGTAATAAAAGATCATGAGCTTCATGGTGGCAAAAAGTCAGTTGTAATGTGTAGCCTTGTTATGAATGCTGATGTCGAACAGTGGTGAGAACTCTTGGCACATGTCTTGACAGCAGCTTCTCAGACCATTTTGCTTGGACTCAGGGCTTGTTCTTCACCCATTAGCACCACTGCTGGGGCCAGGGTGGGTGGAGAAGGCAACAGGTATGGCTTACGCCTGTCATTGCCTTTCAGACCTGCAGAGCCGCCAGCTGAGTTCAAGGCTAATCTCTGAGATACCAGCAGTGCCAGTGGGGCTTGGCTGGCTCCAAGTGTGTCTGCTGAAGTACTTCCCTTGATTCCATCCCCTCCGTTTCCAGCACACCAACATAATCAGAGGCGGACACTACATTTTTTCAGTGCTTGGGCTAAAAAAGTCTGTGAGAGAAACTACTTTCTACGCGCTTTAAAAAAGTTCTCCAAATGGTTATTTGTCACACATTAGCTGGCACTTGAGCTGCGGTGGCTCAAGTGGTTAAGACGCTGAACTGCGGGCTGTGGAAGGTCGGTAGTTCAGCAGTTTGAGACCCGAGTAGCCACATGACGGAGTGAGCTCCCGTCTCTAGTTCCAGCTCCTGCCAACCTAGCAGTTCGAAAGCAAGAAATTGCAAGTAGATAAATAGGTACCACTTCAGTGGGAAGGTAACAGCATTCCGTGCGCCTTGGTGTTTAGTCATGCTGGCCACATGACCACGGAAACTTATTCGGACAGCGCTGGCTCTTCGGCTTTGAAACGGAGATGAGCACCGCAACCCTAGAGTCAGATTCGACTGGCTTTCGAGCAAGGGAACCTTTGCCTTTACCTAGCTGGCTTTAGACCATACTACTGAATGAAAAGTCATCAAGATCATTCCTCTATAATATGTCACTACTTGTTCTCTGTAGGAACCAGGAAGCCAAAATCAAAAGGTTTGCAAATTCAGGTTAGCGAAATATCTTGCAACTCATTTTAATGTGTTCTTACAATCTGAAGTTGCATCCAGCTAGTAATACAGAAAATGCTATATTCCTTGTGGTTTAGTGCACTCATACACTGAACAGTTTAGTGCAATCATTATATCATATGTAGTATGCCAGAAACTTTGTTTTTAACAAGCACAGAAAACTGCTGACAAGATTTGTTGCTGGATGTATTTGGTAGTATATGCAGGTAGATTACAGGACCAGCTGTACTGTTACTGTAGATACGATGTTCATTCTAAAATGACCACATACTCAAGAGTGTGTTGCGGTCAAAACTAATAATTTTTTTAAAAAGAGATCAATTTCATTTAGAACTAACCTGTGAATCTCTTAAGGTTATCCATATGGCAACGGTCAGGTCATGGGGTTTCTCAGTAACAGGTCCAGTCCTCAGGAGTGGTTTGTCAGAGTGGGTATGGAGAGAGCCTTCACTTCCTGTATTTAGGAAGTGATGCAAGACAGTTTTATTCCAGAGGGCATTCGATGAAGTGTGAGCTGTGGCAGATTTGGCTGTCTTCTTAATGTGCCTGATTTTATTTTCATGGGTTTATAATTATTTATTTCCTGGCAACTTGATGTTATATCATTAACTGTCTTCAGTCCAAAGTAGTAAGGTGGGATGTAAATATTTTAGGTAGACTTGATACACGTGAAGACTGTCCTCTTAAATAGGATCCACTTAAGTACCTTGTCATTTGTTGTGGTCTTATGTGGTATGGAAATAACACGCAGCATTGTTCAACCTGCCAAGGGATAATTCTTTTTTTTCTTTTTTTTTTAATAAAGGTTTTATTAGCTCCCCTAAAAAGGGGAGGTATTTCGCTTAAAAGAAAAAAAGGGAAGGGTAGACAGTGGGAGAAAGAGAAAGCTGAGTGATATATAAACTGGTAAATTAAACTGTTAGTAATGTCCAATTAATCTTCTTGGGCTTCTTCTGTGTGTTGCCAAACTTCTTTTCTTAGTCCTGTTACATGTAATTCTCTGTTAGTATGTTAGTAATGTTCCTTTGAGTTTCTGTTAATAAAAAAGATCTCTTCTGTGCACATTCAGAACCGCTTCTTTGCGTGCTGGGTACTTTTACTATCGCTGACGTGGAGGAGCTTCCTCTGTTGTCTTCTCCTTCCGGCTTGTTAGATCCTCCTTCGGGTTATTGTTGATACTCTCAGTTCATGCACTATAAATCCTCTTCCTTTCATGCCCCGGAGGTCCCCATTTTCGAGAATGGTATCAATTTCATTTTCGCTTTTATATTCGCTCCCAGACTCTCTATGGGTCCTCCTCGCAATTGTTGACTTATAAGCGCTTATCAGGCACTTCTCGCTGTCACAATTCCAACTTATCTTTTTTGCAAAACTCCCGTCGGATTCACAGCCATAAACAGTCCAAACATTCAACAGCCGGCTCTTACACACAAACAAACGTCCAGACGGAAGTCCCTCCCTCCTTCTCCGCTCGCTTTTGCCCAGCTCCGACATCTTTTCTTTTTTGTTTACTTTTAAAAAGTTCTTAAAATGTGCTCCAGAGAGACAAGCTTCTCGCTTTCAAATACATCAAAGGAAAACATCACTGTCCGCTCAATCCATTCCCCCCCCTCCTTTTCTTTTTCGCTTATACAGATGGAGGATTAACCTCTTCGCCTTTTTCGCTGGGAGGGGGGGGGAACAATTTTTAATTCTTTTTCTCTGCATTTTGACAACTCACAGTTAAGCCGATCTTTTCTTTTTCCATTTTTGCGGATGGTCGCTTTATCACTCGGTGACGTCTGGTGGCTCCGCTAAACCCAGTTCGGGGTCGCTCACGCAGCAAGGTCCGATGGGGCAGGGCATGGCGGGAGCCTCGTTCTCCGACCTCTCGGCCGAAAGAGCGACTCCCCCCTAGTGCGCCCTAAAGCGCCCCGGATCCGAGCTCCTCTCTTCTGAGGTGCTCGTTCGGGTCTCCGCTCGTGCGGATTCCCTCCTCCACCGCGGGCGGGCGAGACGCCCTCGGGAGTTACCCGAGGATGCGTCCGCCATTCGCGGGAGCCAGACCGGAAGCCATGCCAAGGGATAATTCTGAGAGATGCTACAGAGGTAAATGTGCTTGCCATTTCCTCTCTCCACAGAAGACTTAGTACATAGTTTGCCTGCATTAATTCTACAGTCCTTATCATTCACTACACATGACTAGATGCCTAAAATAAGCAAAAAAGATTAGGAAAGGTTGATTAAAGGAATGGGTGTTTCAAAAGAGAAAAGTTAGAGATTGCTTCTGTATGAGGCAGAAGCTATTTCACGTGCTAAATCCCTCCCCCCGAATAACTGAACTTTTGTCATCACCTCAGGAGAAATGCAAACACTAAAATGTGTGGTCAGTGTCATACACTGTCTGTATCCTTATGTTATGAACCAACTGTGGGCTTAATGTGTGAAAATGAGCAGCTGAATCTTTTCATGGTAGGTGGGTTATTAACATCACCTGGTAAATAACGTACTATTAAATTTCTATTGAAGGGCCAGGGTGCTGTCAACCTTAGGTGTCCTGTTTCCACTTACATGTAAAGTGATGATCAAAGACTTCCTAGCTGATGAAGTCTTCCCTTTAGCATCAGTTTTTTGCAGTGCTAAAATCCAAGTGTTTTCAGTAAATCAGAGCTGGTTTCTTGCCCTCAAAGGTTTTGCAGGCAAGAAACAAACTGATTTGTTGAAGCACCTGGATTTATGTATTTAATTCATTTGTACTCCACCTTTCTCCCCATTGGGGACCAAAAGAGGCTTACATTGTTCTCCATTTTATTGTCACAGCAGCCCTGTGAGGTGGGTTAGATTGAGAAAGTGTGACTGGCCCAAGGTCACCCATCAAGCTTCCATGGCTCAGATCTCCCAGAGCCTAATCTGACACTCTTAACCACTACACTACACTGGCTCTTTAGGCACTGAAACAAATTGAGGTTACACTGAAGATTTCTTCAACTAGTAAGTCTTTGGTTTTGGCTCTGCACCAGGGGAGTGTGGAAAGAACACAAATGGGAATTTCATTTCTTGATGTCTGAATCCTGCTGAAATGGAAAGTGAGTCCCAAAGATGGTAGATTGGGTTTTGTTTTTTAATAATAATTTTATGCTGGTTTTATTGATGTGCTTTTATTTCCTGCTAGTGGATCTTTTAGTTATTGCTGTTTTGATTTTTAATTTTGCTTTATTTTTCATTGTAACCTGCCTTGAGCAGTTTTCTGGAGGCATGGCTAAAAATGGAAATACATGTATTCTTAAAAGCTTACAGGATAAAGAGCTCTGTGGGGAAAGAGAGGGGTGTTCAGTGATACCTGAGCCAGTATTTGGAATGGGGGTACTATAATAAAGTAGTGTCTAGCTTTAATGGACCACAGTCTGCCATCCGAGGCAGGCACCTTATCCCACCCGCGTAGAGCCACTGTCCCTTTGGGCAGTTGTTGCTACCCGCAGGTTCCAGTGTTGTGTGAATGATATATTTGTAGCAGTAGCTCAGAGTCCTTCTGTTTTTATAGTGGTGCTAGGTTATGCCATTGATATGCCTACCAGGATCGTGCAGTTTTGTAGTTTGTTTTGAAGCAGCTTATAATTTATAGATTTTTTTATACTAACAAAAGCTGGCTAGATTGAAGCCATTTCAGAGAATTTTCTTTGTTAGGAAATTTGTTTTATAGTGTTAAAGTATCTAGAGAGGATTAAGTATCCTCTGCAGTAAAAAAGTGCTATAGAATTGATAGTGTTTTGGGTCTCATGCATGCTTCAACAAATAAAAGGTTATAGAAGTAGTGGTAGAGACTTATGCAGATTAACTCTTCAAAACCTCTATTCCAGCTTAGTCATAATATTACATGCAACATTTCCTGTCAAAGGTTTTCCATAGCATTACAGTCTGAATTAGGCTACTGAAGGCATATGTTAAAACTTGTCACCTTAATTTTCTTTGTGTTTTGTTTTTGTTTGAAGGCTCCTCAGTGACTCCTATTAGACTGAAGCTCTTTGCCATCCATCTTCCTAACCTGGCACTATGCATCCTGACCCTGGGCCTTTACAAGAACTACTTTTCCTTACTGTAATACTTTTCTTCTCGACCACAGCTTCAGGTAAGCTTACCTGCTTGGCCTGCTATATATTCCTAACTAATGATAACTGTCAAACTTGGGTCCTCATTTGCCATGGATTTCACATGTTCTGTTTTCACTGCCTGTGCTGTACCTTCATTGTTTTGGTTCTTTCACTTTGGGAAGGGGGGGGCAGACTGTGTGTGGATCTCTGTGTGTGTCAAAGTATGCTTTGCCGTGCTACTTTGCAACAGCTTTCCAAATGGACCTCCTGACGCTGGGAAGAATGCACAACAACCTTTAATACCAGTCTCTGCTAGCTGGCTTTTAGTAGATAATGTAAATGTAGGTTCACAGGTGGGGGAGGAGGGCTAACAGAGCGTGTTAGGTTTAAGCGGTCTGAATGAGTTGATTGATTGGACCAGTCACCGGGGGGGGGGGGCTTGTTTGAATCATGTATAATTCCATAACTGGTGCCAAAGGAGTCAGTTCTGACACAGATAGTCTTATCTTGACACACCTTTATCTCAATAACAAATCACTGCCAAGAGAGTGTTGTTGAGAGTAAGTTTGTTCAAGAGTCTGACAATTACTTCTGTTGGTGTGGCAAGGTCTTTAATATGAAAGGATATGTTTGTATGGAATGTTAAGTGTGTTTATGTGCTACTTTGTAGCATATTCAAATAAAGTGCTGAAGGTAGAAATCAGTCATTTGTGTATGTTTTTCCCTTTCCAGATCTGATTCCTCGTTTTGTTTCTGAGCCCCTTTCCACCATCCAGAAACCTGGCGTGACTGTACAGCTTCACTGCTCTGCTGAGCCCTCTACAGCTCATATATCTTGGCTGTTCAATGGAGGGAAATTGCACAAGAAAGTGGACCAAGTAGATCTACAACCAGGATCCCTGACAATCTATTCTCTTAGCCCTTCAAATTCTGGTGTTTACCAATGTGTTGCCAATAGCAGCATTGGTGCAGTTATTAGTAGGCCTGCCACAGTATCGATTGCCTGTAAGTGATGTTCTTTGTGATCAAACAGAAGTCATTAATCTCCAATGAAATTTTGATTTCACAGTTGTCCTTTGTCTTTTGTCAGATGTGTGCACTTTTAGAGTATGTTCTGTTCTTTGAAACAGGGCTTATGGGAGGCGGGATGAGTGCTTTCAATAATAGGCTAAGACTGCAGAATAAAACACTTTGTGTCTTGGGCTTTTCCTGTGAAAATATATGCATAATCAGAGGGGTGGGGAACTAGCAATTAAATGTTGCACCTTAAAAAAAATCTGGATTGTAAAACCTGGAATTGTGATAAGCCTTCATAAAGCCCTTGCCTTTAACCTGTCAGATACCTAACCACATGTTATGCAAATCTTATGTACCAAATCTGAAGGGCTGGGGCAAAAAGCAATTCGATTTTTCTCAACACTGAAAATTCATTAATCCTAAAGGAGTCAGGCTGTTCCTCAACTGGTCTGTACCCTATACATTGATATGCTACATACACAAATGGGATGTAGTTTTATAGCCTGTTACAATTATTGTATCTCAATACTTGTGTTCTGAAAACTTTGCACCTTGTACTGAAGGTTATTTCTGTAGCTGTTCAGGATCAAAGAGGAAATGTCTGAATTGTGCTTTTTGTAAGCTGGTTTTGATTAATCTCTTTTATAAAGATGCTCTGCGTATGAAGTATATCCAGAATACCCATAAGAGAAAAGTTTCTCATAATTGAGAAAGGTAAATGTTTTTGTAGAGTCTTGACCCATAACCAGATCCTCTTGAGATTTTGTAAAGGTCACTCTGCACAAACACATTACAAGCTACAAGTAGCTTTGAATGTCGATTTTGTGTACTGAACTCCTTGCAGATGATTAAATAGCTGTGGTGAGATTTCTACATTTAGGTGAAGCTAGAATTAATGTAATTTTGAGTGATATATAAGGAAGGCCGAGCGCCAAAGAATAGATTCTTTTGAACTATGGTGCTGGAGAAGACTCTTGAGAGTCCCTTGGACTGCAAGAAGATCAAATCAGTCCATCCTAAAAGAAATCAATCCCTGATGCTGGGAAAGATTGAAGGTCAAAGAAGACGGGGATGGCAAAGGATGAGATGGTTGGACAGTGTCATCGACGCAACGAACATGAAATTGAGCCAACTTCAGAGGACAGCGGAAGACAGGAGGGCCTGGCGGGAGCTGGTCCATGGGGTTGCGAAGAGTCAGACTCGACTGTGCGACTGAACAACAACAACAAAAATATGAAGACTGGCAGATGCTTTATTTCTTGCTGTTTCCTATCCTATTGATTTTCATCTGCAGAAACATACTTTTTCATTTGCACTTGCATTTATTATTGTGCCTAAATAATTCCCTGAATCTCTCTCCTGTCTCACCTTGAAGGAGTTGGGAGCAAGAAGACATGCATTTGATGTATTCTCTGATGTAATGTATGCTTCATGCTGGATTGAAATGAGCTTTCCTATCATGAATGTTCAGGAGAGAAAACAGTGGAGCGTATCTTAAGATCATGCATATTCACTCCCTGTTCCAGCTCCCGCTCCCACTTATGCATGCAGAAAGTGCCTTTGGACCTGCATCATTTTAATTTGTACATAGGATCCCATTCCCCCTCATCCATTTCAGAGGAGGTTGGATTGTTGAGATCCAGCATACAAATGTAACAGCCCAGCTTTACCTTCAGCATAATCTAAGGGAAGGGATTTATGCCCCTGCTGGTATTTATACAGAGAAGTCAACTTCATACTGTCCGACTGGACCATGGGAATGCCACAGAAAACACTTGGAAAGGAATACATAAATTGTGCTTTGTTCCAAAACTTTTAAAGTTATGAATTATTTTTTACTTTTTAAAAACTATGAATTCTTTTCCAGATCTTGATGACTTTGAGACTTTAGTGAAACATGTAACTACAGTGGAACAAGAGAATACAGCTTTCATTGCTTGCCAACTACCAAAAAGTAATCCAAAAGCACAGGTTCGCTTCCGTGTGCGGGGAAAATTGCTAGAACAATCAACAGGTGAAATTCTGTATATTCTAATTTAGCATAAGAAACTGTTAAAAGCATTTGCGCCTTCCTTTATACTAATATTTTGAAATGAATTACAAAAGTCTGTATTGGAATAGAGATCAAAATCTTGAGGCCCTTGTAATTAAAGATAACTGTCTCCTTTTTCTTTATCTAACCTAGAAAACTACCTAATTCTCCCATCTGGAAATCTGCAAATTTTGAGTGCATCGTTAGATGACAGGGGACTTTATAAGTGTGCAGCATATAACCCAGTCACGGATGATCTCAAAGTTGAACCTATGGGGCATAAACTTATAGTCAGCGGTGAGTATTAAATATGCTACTAGTGAAACTATTTAGTAAAATCATAGGGCATAAGCTACTGACAACTGTCACTTGCTAACCTCTGTTAAAAGGACTGTTGCTTGTGTTATGGGTATTCATTTCAGTGGGGCTTCTAGGATTGCATTTGCTGATGGATGTGGATTTTCTTCATTGTTGGCTTTACAGGCTTTGCTTTTTTATTATTGGTAGTCTTATTTTGCAACCTTCAGCTTGTCATATTGAACTCTGAACAAACAAATCTTAACTTGCTAAGAAAGATAATTGATGGATTTCAGTCTTAAAGCTGTTTGCGGGTATATCATAGGAAGGCAGTTGGTATTTCATACTCACTAGCTTCATTTTGCTATGCCAGGTTTTTCACTTGTAGGGTTTTGGGGGTTTTTTGTTGTTGTTTTTTTTACAAAGAAATGAACTTGGGAGTTTGCTTTTTCTTCTTCGTGGTTATTTGTCCAAGTAGATAGATGAGTTCATTTTTCTGCAGATAATAATGTAAGATCAGTAAGAATATGATAAAGTGACGTGTCTCATGGTGGCAAAGTTAAAATAAGATTTCTTTATTTTTTCAAGGTGAATTTTTGTTCTAAATGGTAGCAAGGAGGTTTGAAAATGAAAGACTTCCAAACAAGTTCCTTGCTTTTGCACTTGATTGTTGAATAAATGATTGCCACATAAGAGTGAATCCATCTACTTTGATGGCTAGCATTCTATTAGAGGGGTAGGGTCTTCATGTCTTGTGGAGATGATGCTCAATTCATAGTTTTTCTTGACTGTGGTATAGTTTACATTTTGAATGCCTAAATCTATGATTAAGTGTCGGCTGCAAACTAGGCTGGAGAAACCATTTTGAAGTTGATTAAGCTCAAGTCTAGTGAAGGCAGTTTCCCTGTCTCTCCATCCTATCTGCCCATAAAGCAGCAAGCAGCTCTTGCTGGTGTCTCCATGGGGAGGGCTTAGCTCGTCAAGTCCTGGAATCTTAACCAAGGCTTAAGGCAAGTGGTTAAGCATCTGCCCTGGGTTTTGCAAAAGGTTAAGTGTGTATAACATGTCGCTGTAAATGGGATGCTTTGCAAAAGGTGTGGAAAGGCATTGACCCATATCACTCATCAGTTTCTCCCCTCCCTGATTTTCAGCCTCTTCCTCAGAGGATTTTCACATTGTTCATCCTACCAGTTCTCAGGCTTTGGCAGTACCTCAGCACAGTCCTCTGATGTTGGAATGCGTTGTTAGTGGACTGCCCTTATCTTATGTCCACTGGTATAAGGATGGCCGAGATGCACTAGCTGGAGGCAGGTGGAGAACGTATCACTCACATCTTAAGATAGATTCACTTCATGCATCAGATGCTGGAAATTATTCCTGCATAGTGGATAACAATTCTGGAGTTGTAAAACATGTAAACTACAGTCTGAATGTACTTGGTAAGAAATGGCAAAATATCTTTATTTATTCGAATTAACTTTCAATAAAATTCACCACAATGAAACACAATTTAATTTAACATAACATATATGATTTGTTTCAGAATCTGCCTCTATTTCGAAAGGATTGCAGGATCAAACTGTGTCTTTGGGGAAAACTGTGCATTTTTCATGTGAAATACATGGAAACCCTACACCAAACATCACTTGGTTCCATAATGCAGCTCCTGTCCATCTCTCTCCACGACGCTTACCTTCAGGAAGCAAACTGAGGATTAGTAGTGTCTCCAGAGAAGATGCAGGGTTGTACCAGTGTTTAGTCAACAATGGTATTGGGTTTGTGCAGTCTACTGGGAGACTTCATGTCCAAGCAGGTAACTTCCTGTTCGTTCTCTCTCTCTCTCTCTCTCTCTCTCTCTCTCTCTCTCTCTCTCTCTGAAAATGGTGTATCTTCGATGTGCTCTCTGTGCTTCACACCCATGGGATTCAGTGCGCACGCACTGGATCGATCTGTGCTGTAGCAAGCTCTTTTAATGGATTTTCGCACCCAGTCCCTCGGGCATACGCAGGAACCCCACCACGCATGCCCAGAGGGGTGGGCGTGGACATCCCGCCAGTTCCTTCAAACCGCCGCAAATCAACCCCTATTAAAATTGTAGAAGCTGACAGCAGCGGGGAAGGAGGGCGGGTGGTGTGAATGCACCGATGACCACTCAAAGATCGTCAGTTACTTGTAAGCAACCTGTTTATCTTTGACGTGGTATCTGTGCTTCACACCCATGGGAGATTAGCGAGCAGTAGCCTACCTGGAGGAGGGTGCTGGCAGGTCTTTTACTGCATAGCCGAAGACAGAATGTGACGTCCCATGTTGGTATTGGTGTTCTTACGGACGTCTAGGGCGTAGTGCCTGATGAAGGTGTTAGGCGTGGCCCACGTAGCGGCTTTGCAAATGTCCGTCAGGGGCACTCCCTGTTTCCTGGGATTATTCTGATAAATGGTTATTTATGCATAGGTTATACGTCTGTAGTTCAGATCATAGCTCACTGGGTTTGTCTCTGGTTTATACTGTAAAGCAATGAAAGAGAAAAGAGTGGACTCTAGGGCACTGGCTAGTTTCTGGTCAACCTCCCTGTTACTGGATCTCCTATAGAGAATACTGGTCTCTGGAGAGTTGGCATATAAATTCTCCAAATAAATAGTATTAGATGAGGTGCGTGTTGGCTTTGTCCAGTATATCATTTCATGTTCTAAGCAAGAGTGTACATTCATATTACGCGATACAGATATTAGCTATGTCTGAACTGTGTTTCAATTGAAACACATTGGTAGATTACAGTCATTCCAGTAAAAACAAGCAAAGAAGACTGGCGTTAATCTTCCCCTGCTGTGAAGCAACCGTGTCCATAAAGAGCACTTTGTAAATAATAAATTGCCAAACTTCTCACATGGTTGCACCCAAAAGCTAGCTCTGCCGTAACTATCATATGGTCTTCACCACCAGTAATGAGCTTGTCCATTTTGAAATATTTTTCTGTTGTACTACTCAATTTAAAATAGTGCAACACATGTATAATATGGCTCCTCAAGAGATTTGAATCTCATAAAAGCTTAAGGGTGCATCCCTTCTCCTAATGCCCTGTGCTTGCTAAGCTAATGAGCTTGTTCCAGATTCAGAGGGTTGGAGAGATACTGTTTGAAGATATTCCAAGTTCTAGGCTGTACTTTGTAGCACTTCTTAAAAGCCAGTCCTGAGCTTCAAGGATCTCAGCTAGCTCTCCCCTTCTAACAGGAAGAATTAGATTGAATGATAATAAGCTTCTTGGCTTAATAGGGGTTTGAGTGAAATTATCCTTGGTCCTCGTCCAACACTCTTTAGCTACAATGCTACATTTGCTCTCCCCATTTGGAAAAAGTTGTACCAGCCTTAATTGATACATGCAAAATCCAAAACAAAAAACCACAAATCCATATAGTATCTTTTTATTGGGACCAAACAAAATAATACAGAACATTGTGCAAGCTTTTGACCTCACTAGAAATCTTTATCTGGTCAGATGTTACAATATAAAACCATTTTGATGGACCAAATAAGCAACATTTTCTGGGTCATTATCTGACCTGGTCTCCATTTGAAGTTATCAGTATTTTTTTAATGGGGGGTGGGTGGGAATTAGAAAATTATATATATTTAAAAGGTAGCATAAATAAATCCAAGCTCTTAATTGTCAGCCTGTTAGTAGTTCTCTAGGCCAGAGCAGCTACTGTCATGACACCTGAATGGATAGGCTTCAGGGTATTTATGTGGCCCAAAGCAATGCCTTGTTTCTGCGGTCTTTTGTACTTAAGTCCTGAACCCTTATATTGATCCTACAATTTAGTTGCTCATGTTTCGAGACAGAATTTCAGAATTGTTATTGCAATCACAGAATTGTTGTTGTTTTGTATTTCCATTTTAAATAGACAAAGGTTCCAAGCCAGTTATAACCTCACCGCCAGCAAGCTCCAAAGTGCCAGATGGGGACACAGTTACGTTGTCCTGCAATGCAACTGGGCTGCCCATTCCTGTAATCCGTTGGTACAACAGCCACGGGCTGATTACCAGCCACCCTTCACAGGTCCTTTATTCCAAACCACGGAAGTCATCCTCACAAGCGAGAACTGGCAATTCTGTTTCGGACAGAGTCTATTTCATCATGTCTCGGGCTGGATCAAGCTCCCTATATGTCCAGCCTGTCACACCAGAGCATGCTGGGAAGTATACCTGCGAAGCAACCAATGAACATGGCATGGCTCTTTCAGAGGCTTTCCTTACAGTTGGTAAGAGGGGTCCTAGTTGGCTTACTTAAACACAGTGTAACTATTTTGAATGAAACATTGTCACGGTCTTGGACAGGTACTGATCCTGTGGCCGCAGATATCTAAGTCCATTACTGTATGACTAGCTTACATGTGTTCCTGGAACTTATCAGGCACTCATCATTTACCATCTTCATTTCTCAGGTGGGTGCTCTTTCCACATCAGGCCCTTACTAACACCATGGTTACCGCAGAGTTACTAGTGAAAATTCATCTAAAGCCTATCCTTTTGATGCTTTACAATCAGCGTGCTTTAACCTATCATCTTCCCCACGTAGCTCACTGTTGCATTCACCATTCACAACCTTATTCCTCCGCTTGCTGAGGACACAAGTTAACTCTTCTGTGTGTGTGTACACTTCTTTCCCACTCGGGTCTTCATGAAGCAGCTGAAAATCTCCATAGTTGTTGGTATATCAGTAGAGACTGGATGAAATATAAGGCCAGCCAGACTAGACATTCACAGTCCATGCTTTATGAAGTGCTTGTTTTGTAAACTCTTGCCTTAATCAGACAATAGATGTAAAGCAGCAATTTAACTGAGATTATGTGCCAGTTGCATATTTAAATATCTAATATATCTAGTTGGGGGGGACGGGACAGAAGCTCTTCCTTCCATGCTTCCATATTTTGAGTGTGGTAGTAAACCTCAGCATGTCAGCTGCATGGATAATTGGCAAACACTGCAGACCTATAATCGGTGTACTGCCTAATCTCTCTATTTAACCAGTCTGTTACTTTAGTTGAAGTTGTTGTAATTTAGAAGCTGTGAAGCAGCATGACTACAGAAACAATACTTAAAACTGCTTAGAATTGTTTTCAATCAAGTTGACTAAAGTTAGTAAGAAACTAAGTACAAAAGTGGGAGCTGTCAATTATCCATCCTTTAAAATTATTCAGTGTCACTTCATACATTAATCAATACTCTGAATTCTCTGCATGATATATTTAATTCCATGAGATCATGTCCTTTTGTCATTGAAGGTCTGAAAGCAAAGTCTGCAGATTCCAGTTGTTTAGAGTGCCCATGTTTGTGCTGTGTGCAAAACATAATTTTCAGGTCCATACAAAAGAGTCGCTTATCCTATTTTTAACTCTACCCTCTTCCTTCTGCAGTTTCTTATGAAGCTAGTACAAAGCCAGAAGCAGTGTCTCCAGTGGAAGTTACTCAGAGTGATGAAGGTGATGGAGAGTATGATTCAGAAACAAGTCTCCAAAGGTCATCTCCCACTGAGATTATTGATGAATCTGTTACAGAAAAAGCTCTGCATGGTGTTTCCCTGCCTGATGCTCCAATCATTCTTAGCCCTCCACAGACACTTAAACCAGACCAATACAACCTTGTATGGAGGCCTGGGAAGGATGGTGGCTTGCCAGTTAATTTCTACTTTGTGAAATACCGTAAGGTAATCCTTCATTGAATTGCATCATATCAAATGTGCTTCCTCTTGTGGCCTTTGGCAGATTTTATGAGTAATTAAGGGCCAAACTGACAGTACATTCTTACCAATCTTTAAACCAAATTTATAGGCTAGAAATCACATAAAGCCATCATAATTATCATCATTTTCTATTACTAAATAAAGTTCATTCTAAGTTTCCAAAGACTTACATCCTTCTTATATTTTTATTTAAACTATCTTTTAATCATATTGTGGGGGGGGGGAGGAAAAAGATTCCCCCCCTTCCATTTCAATATTCAGAGACCTAATTATCTCAACCATTTAATCAGAAGCCATTTTTACCAACATTCTAACCAACATACTAACCATAAAAGAGAAACAACACTACCTTTATCAACCCAAGCCTCATCTTATAGTCTCTCCCTCACCTTTACTAACTAATACCAATAAAAATATAAAATACAACACATCACCATTTCATATAATAAACATGAGAAAAGAGTGAATTAATGAAAGAAAACACACAAACCCCACCAATACACCCTTACAACTTTTCCATCTTTTCATCAACAAAATCGATTTTATTTTTTTTACATGAACCATATATACCCAAAGAAGAAAGGTAAAACCATATTGAACCAAACATAGTTTTTGTCTCATCTTCCCCCCCCCCTTTCCGTCGCCTCCTTTTTCTTTTCAATTTCATTTAGGTGTCTTGAATCTTTATATTCATGCGGTTCCATTTCCAAATCAATTGTTCCATATTTCATAAAAACAGTCATTGTCCTTTCTTTAGCCTTAAGTTTCTTTACCAGGTTCTTTCCTCCTCTTTTCCCTTTTCCCTTCTTGCTCTTTTCCACTGGTAACCATTTTGTTGTTTCCTTTTCTAATGCCAAATTTGTTATTTCTTTTGAGAAACAACCCACATCAATGTCCTTTTCTTGTTTTTCTTTTTCCACAATTATCAGTTGTTTATCGGGCACTTCCCTCATCCTCTCCCGGGAGCAATCTTGTTCCCCAACAAGTCTTTGAGTATATTGAGCTTGCTCTCCATTTTTAATCTCATCTTGGTTTACATTTTGATAACTCTACAAGGTTATTACAAGCGTTTTTGAATGCTTGTATAATTTCTCTCACCAAAAAGTTTTGAAATTGTTCCCAGGTAGGGTACTAATTAATGTATCAGGGTCTAGCTCTTCTTCGCCTATTCCCAACTCCATTTTACCACGGACTTTTAAACAAAATTCCAGTTACAATTCTCCATTATCATTTTACAAAAGATTTTACCTTGTTATATTTATTGTATTCATCAATTTTTATGCAAAGCAAACAGTAACAGTTCAAACAGAACAAGAGTCCTTTCTTACCCCCGCTATTTTAGACAAATTTTGTTCTTCAGTCATTTTATGGCCATTCACATATAAATAGAGAGATCTGTCGGAGGTATCAAAATCCAAAGTCCTTTGTCTTCGTGAGATCATAATCCTTGGTTGCGATGCGCCAATTAAGGTGTATAAATTGTAAATCCCAAAAAGTTAAAAAGACAGATGGTCACAGCTGTAGGAACATGGCGTCATGTTCCTCCGTAGAACGCTCCCACTTCAGGGCGGTAGCAGACACCCCCCCCCCTTTGCTGAATGCGGAAGGGGTCGCCACAAAGCCCCCTGCAACTAGACCTCTCTCCAGGAGGTCCAGCGAAGCCCACCCATCATCCAGGTGCTTCAAAAAGAGCGAAACAGGATCGGGCGTCTCAGAGAGACCGAGAAACCGCCGTTACCGCGCTGTACCCCAGCCTTTGGCAGATTTTATGAGTCATTAAGGGCCAAACTGACAATACCGCATCCTCCAGTCTGTTGCACGGCCATTTTGGCTCTTGAAAATAGTTCTCGGCAGGATCAGGCCTGTGAGGTTCTTTGAAAAGTGGGGGGGAAACCCCCTTTAAAGTGGCATGACAACTGCATGTTAGACTCAAGGGTGTGGTATTGCCTAGTTTGACCTTACAGATTCCAACATTTTCTTGCAACATTATCTTACCAAGCAGGACTTAATGTTTCATTGGTTAAAAACCATGAATATTGGAAAGCTGCACAACCCTGGTATTAACAGTAGCCAGAGAAGCAAGGTTAAATCCATACAGCACGCCACTGAATCAATGTATTTGCAATGAGGGAGATTGAAGTGCATTCGCACCCTGTGAATGTGCCTGGGTGCTCATCATAGTAATTGAAGCTATAATGAGAATTATGTGGTAAACTGGGAAATAGTCTTGCTAATACTTTGTTGGAAAATTTAAATGTCTGGGGTTTTTTAGTGGTATTATATTTTCTGAGGAAATGTTTTGCAGCTTGTGTCTAGCTACATTAAAAACTACTTTGACCCAAAATTGGAACCAGCCGCATGTTTGCCTAAGTTGTAAGCCAAGCTTTCCCATAAATTGAAGCCGTTCATCTGTGTGTATCCTGGTCTCATTTTGACCTAAAACCAGAGATACCACAAAGTATTTTTTGATCTGGCAAAATCCTTGAACTCTTATGACAGTCTGTTTATATAAGTTTGCATCCAGACATAGTTGGTTCAGTTAAATAAAGAGCTTTCAATGCATGTTGGAGATCTGTTTCCTTCAATCTTCTGGATTTATAGATTTTTACTCGTTCTTAGCATTTATGCTTCTAGGATTTTTATAGCTGCTGCTGGGCTTGCAACTTTGCTACCTGGAATTTTCTTCCAAGGTATCTAAGAAGCATTGGACATATTTTGTCTTGTGAGAGCCTCAGTCTAAGCTTTTGATAATTCTGTTACATTAATTCAACCTAAAGGACAGATCTAGAACTCTTGCATTTAATTGTCTGGGATAGAACTTCTGTTGTTCCCTTCAGGATTTAGGGGAAAAGTTCCCATGAGAGAAAATTAAATTTCCTGTAGTTTTTAATCAGGAATCGAACCCTGCATCAAATGAGATTTTTCTACTTGGATAAAATATTAGAATACAAAACACATAGACCATGTCAGTCATGAAGCATGCATATATTTCTTTTCCATTAGGTCCTTTAAATTATATGTGACTGAGAGAGAGAGAGGATTGACAGTGGCAGAGAACTTGCACATTTGATGTGCATTGTGTTTTGGGTGTGAAACTAGAGATATGTGGCAGCAAATTTTCCAGTGTGTTGTTTTTCCATGCAACATTCTCCACTTCTAAAGACCTAGTGTTACATAAAATTAATCAATGAATGCCATTGCCAATACAACAATAAGCAAGTCTGGCAGTTTGAAAGTTGTGATTAATGTTTTTCAGGTGATTATCACTTAAGACTTGTGTGATAATACTTGGATGTTGTAAATTTGAGGATATGGGATAAAAGCACAAATACATATATAATAAAATAATTTATTTATTTTATTTATTTATTTTTTGCATTTTTACCCCACCCTCCCCGCAAATGGGCTCAGGGTGGCTCAAATCAAGTTATGAATTCATCTGACTGGCTGTGCAGATCAAGCCTAAATCAAAGGGATATTGTAATTACTAATCTGATACGAAACTCACAAGTAGTGCAAGTGCTGAGGTGCCTCAATGGACCCCCATGGAGACGAGTTAAATTCTGTTGAAATGGGTAAACAACATCCACAGCATATCATGCACTGCCCTTTGGGTGTGTTGTTAGTGTATAAACAGTTTCCAGTGCCTTTGGGTTGTTTTTTTTAAAAATTAAGAAATATAAAGGAAATACATGCTGTATATTCCTGTGTTTTCATATGTAACTTTACCATAGAACATTTAAATGCTATTTAGCACTGTTCTGTAGTGGAATAACTAGAACTGGACCAGATTTAGTCTTTGCCTCCTCTTATTTAATGTTTGTAAATTTAGGTAGGATTTTTCTGGCTCTTAGCATCTTGTGTTTCCTCTTGTATACAGTTGGATGATAATGTCAATGTGTCCAGTTGGAATACAATTCGTGTTCCTGGAAGTGAAAATGAACTTCATCTCTCAGAATTGGAACCCTCCAGTCTTTATGAAGTCTTGATGGTAGCTAGAAGTGCCGCTGGTGAAGGCCAGCCTTCTATGCTTACTTTTCGTACCAGCAAAGGTAAGTGAGGTATTTGCTGTTCTATACATCTGTCCCAGAATGCTTCAGTAAATAAGAGGAAAATCTCAAGTGCCTGTGGGGTCTATTTTGTGAGGTAGATTCACCAAATTTGCAGCATAGTTGCTGGTGCCTCTCCTCAAAAAGCTGCCCAACTTTCAAAAAGATTGGACAAGGGGGTCCGATTCTATAAGCCCCCAAAGAAGGTGCCCCCATCCTCCATTATTTCCAATGGAGGGGGGAAAGGCATTTAAAGAGATTGCATTCTCTTTAAATGCCTTTTGCAAGCCACGCCATGAGTGAACTCCAAAATGGTGAGTTCAACCAGAAGATTTTAAAGGGAAGGCAGTCCCTTTAAACACCAGGTATCTGGCAGGTATTTTGGGGATTTTTAGGGCTTGGCCATTTTGTATAGCTTTAATATCAAGCTTTATATTAGGTTGAAAAAATATCTGGAAAACACTGAAGGTATTTTGGGGATTTTTTTTTTGGCTTGGTGTTGCCGAACGCACACCTTAGTCTAATGCATATTTAACTATTAATGGGACTTTTTAAAGTGTAACCTTTGGGTTTAATATCATTATTCTTGATGCAAGCCTTGTATGGGGCAGGGCTGAGTTTAAAGTAAAGCAGAAGTTGTATTCAGAGTCTATTACTTCAAGCTTGTTATAAAGGTACAAAGCATGCTATAATGGTACATCAGCTAAAAAATTTCAGCAATATCTCATCCACTCATGGAGCTTATCTCTCCATCATTTGATAGAAAGATCCTCCTCCTCAAAAAACACACAAACCCCATCTCAACCAGTTGGCATTCCTAAGCACCCTGTCATTCAGGAAGGCTCAACCAACAATTTTGGTGTGGTCCTTCCAGATTCATCTCGACATAGTGGAGGTAAGTGTAGCTTATCTTCTGTTTCATCACATAGTAAATGCCGGCATGTAAATGGTAACTTTAAAAAAGGCTGCAGTTTGCCATGTAGACAAATTCACTTGTCTTGGTACACCATGAGAAATATTCAGTGGTTTGGAAGGGTCCCATAGCTCAGTGGCAGAGCGTACGCTTTGTGTGTAGACCATATGAAATCCAGTCCCTGGTATCTCTAGTAAAGAATCTTGGTTAATGATGTTGGCATAGGTCTTTGAGACTACAGAGAACTATTACCAGTTGGAGGTTGATTTTTGTGTATGTTAAAAAGTATCTCTCCTTTTCCTTTAAATACCCCACAAGGTAGAGTACAGATATATAAAATTAAAATAACCGTTTGTTGAAACAAAAACAAATATTACTGGATTAGTTGTTTAAGGGTGGTTCCGCACTAGACCTTGAATCCTGGTTCAACCCTGTCCCCGAACTTATATTCTACACTACACCCAAGTTCACCCCTGTAATTATCTCAGGGTATTTTTTGTTTCCACATTACATTGAGGTCACCGCAGTTTCGCCCCACACTTGTCCCAGGATAAACGGATGCTGTTATAACCATGGATAAATGCAAGGTATTGTGTTGCGAGTTGATCTCTTTAAAACCAGGTATGAGATCCAAGTGCAGAAAGGACCTAAGAAACACAGGTGAACCAAACAGACTTCACTTGGCATGTAGAACATTATAGTGATAGTGCCAGGTGAATTTGAGTGGAGAGGGTGTTCATAACTAGGGCACCACCACAGAGAAGGCACTATCTCCAATAACTACCTGCCTAATCTCTGAGGACAGGAATATATATAGGAGGTCTCAGTAGATTGATTGGTAGCAGGCTCACATGGGAGTAAAAGTCCACTAAAATGCCTTTGTCCCAGACCATTTATTAGATAGTGCTAGATGGAATGATGGTCTGATTCCATATATAATCTTAGCATTATGCTGTCTCGTTGTAGGATAATGGTAAATAGCATGATATTCAAAACATTGAGAAATGCTTTTCATTTTGATGTTTGTCTTTTGAAGTTTGCGGTCTACAAGAATTTGCTTGCTGTCATATTTTTGTGGTATAAGAACTTGTGTTTGTCAATGAAAATTTCTTATGCTGGTGATCTTGGGTAATATGTTTTGATACTGAGATTTAAGCAAATGAATTAGTGGGCTGTTCTACCCTATTAAATATTGACCTTTGTTGTAATGCATGTTCCATCAGCCCAGTCATGTTACTAAATTTTACAAATCCTGTTTAATTACTTTGTTTTACACTACATTATAGTATATATAGTTGAAACAGTTAATTCTTGAATGTGTAGTGTCTTGTAAAAAATTTGAGATCACTGTCAAGTTTTCTCCATCCAGAGATGGCAAACTGGAAGCTAGTCGTAATTTACAATCGCGCTATACCTTTCTCTTCGTTTATTAAGTCCCCCTTTTCCCTCTGTCACTATCTAATAGTTCAAGAACATGTGTAAAACAGTCTAATAGGCACTGAAGGATAATGTTGAGATGCTTATAATCAGACTTACTAACCTCACCTCTCTCCATTCTTTCTGTTCCCACTGCTGTCTAACTTCAAGTGAGTTGAGTAAGTATTGATGTGATCTGCTTGGCTTTGAACACTAGCTAATTTGTTTATAAGTGAGTAATTAAAACTTCTTGGTTCTTGACAGCCATAGAAACAGAGCTTTCATGAGCCTTGGAATTCTTGTTCAAGTTTTAGACCTTTCATTTCTGCGTAACAAGATGAATTCAGTGCCGCACCAAGCCAGAGTGTCATAGCAGATTAGCCTGCCTGTTTCTGTGATCTTGAATAAGCAAGTCTTTCAGGTTTTTTATGTGCTAATACTACAGAGCAGTTATGTGCTGATGTAATTCAGTGGTCTTGCACAGCTTAGTTGTTGTATATTGTCTGTCTTGACAGCTGTAGTGTTATTTTTGTAAGATGCTTTAATTCATCATCGATCTTCTATGTAGTCCCACATGGGGACTCCGCATGAGCAGGTCTTTACAGCTGAAAGCCTCCAGGGGTTGCTGCATGCCAGAATCAGAAGCTTGTTCCTGCCCAGGGACCATGTGCTCCTGCGCAGCAGCACCCCCTTACCCTCAGTTCCTCTTGCCACTGAAGTAGAAGGTCGTGTTTTTGGAGTCTCCAGCTAAAGTTAAGAGGATTTTGTCCAGATTCATCAAACCTACATCGGCTTCGAAGTTCCTTCCGTGGCTCAGAAAGCCCTTTTCAAGAAGTGCTGCAGATGTGGAGTGAAGATGACCCAAACTGATGAACACGACCTTTGTTCTGTTTGGGTGAAGGGCATAGTCTCTCCACATGTAAGGCCTGCCAACGCTTCACCCCTAAAGCTCAGGGGGATAGGGCATCAAAACTTAAGGCAGTGTTGTGGGAGAAAGCACTTAAGTGCCTTGAAGCCCACATCCAAGTCAGCCCTGGAGAAAGCTCTCAATTCCATGTCTTCAGAATCAATGCATTCCGCTCCAACTCCTCGATCTGTATCTCATTGGATCCAATCTGGGTCACACTTCCCTCAGGTTCATTGTGCCTCTTCTGAGTCTCCAGCTAAGAAGGCTAAAGGCAAGACAAAGGAAAGGTGTAAATCAGCTCCACAGCAAAACACTCCTATCTGCACTCCTGAGCCAACACCAACCTTGCAGGAGAAACCCAGGACCCTGTCTCCGGATCTGAGATCTTCACCTGTTTCTATCTCTGATGGGGACAGGGATACTGGCTTACCACATGGCCAAGCTCTATGTGAATCCAATCTGGAACAAATGGCCATGGTTTCATAGTCCCAGTTCCAAACACCTATGCAGTGGCCTTCACATCCCTACCTGATGTTTCTAGGATAATTAGAGGAATGGAGTGACAACTTCGCAAGCCCCAGGGATGTTAATTTGTATTGTGACCCTCATTGGGTGTAGTTGTATCTGCCTTTTGCGACCATCTCATGCAGGCCAGGTTCTCCTATTCCAGCAGTAAGAGGAGAAGCAGCAGCTATTGAATCTGATGGATCTGACAAAACAGCAGATCTGAGCCTAGATGAGAGAGTAGGTGAGCCATCTCTAGCGTCCCCCACGGAGGATCTCCAAATTTTTGGAGAACAGATTATTTGTATTTTGAAAATTCTGTGCCTTTTGGTGTAGTGGTTAAGTGTGCAGACTCTAATCTGGGAGAACCAGGTTTAATTCCCCACTCCTCCACTTGCAGCTGCTGGATGACCTTGGGCAAGCCATAGTTCTGTCAGAGCTGTTCTCTCAAGGACAGTTCTGTCAGAGCTCTCTCAGCCCCACCTACCTCACAGGGTGTCTGTTGTGGGGAGAGGAAGGGAAAAGGAGTTTGTAAGCCGCTCTTAGACTCCGAGTGAAGGTTGGGGTATAAATGCAATCTCCTCCTCTCCGCCTTTTGGGATATATGGCTTCTGCAACTGCAGTCCTGCCTATGGCGAAGTTACATATGTGACCCCTGCAGCTCTGGTTTCGTTCTTGTTATAGAGCTGGGGACACAGATTCTCTGTTCCCAGACCTGCCATAAGTTCTTTATTGTGGTGGTCTTCTATGGATAATTTATCCTTCAGAGATTCTGAACATGAAGTAGTCCTTACTACAGATGCTTCGGTCTTGGGTTGGGTGCCCACTGTGAGGGATTGTTAGCTAGGGGTACTTGTTTAGAAGATGAGAAGTTGCTTCACATTAACATTTTAGAATTGTGAGCAGTTCGTTCTCAGATATCCTTCGGAACCAATCCATTCTTGTCCAGACGGACAATACAGTTACAGTGTTTTATTTAAACAAGCTAGGGGGTCCAGAGGTTTATGTCAGGAAGCTACCCTTGTATGGGACATGGCAGTGAAGGTCAGTACTTCCATTTAAGCTATCCACATCCCTGGAAGTTTAAACATGGAAGCCAACAGATTGAGCAGGGCTGGCACACTCTTCCATGACTGATCCATAAAGGCCACTTACCTGGAACCACTTTGTATCCTCTGGGGTTTCCAGACATCGATCTTTTTGCGACACGAGAAAACAAGAAGGTTCTGTTTCCAAGCAGGAGCAGGAATTGTTTCCCTAAGGGATGCATTTCAGCTGTGTTGGCAGCGAGCCCTGTTTTAGGCATTCCCTCCGTTCCCGCTCCTTATCAAGGTAATAGAAAAAGCCAGGAGGGAGAGATCAAACATGATCCCGGTAGCACCCTTTTGGCCTTGTCAAATGTGGTTTCCGATCCTTATGGAGATCTCCCGGGGCCAGTTCCTTCCCCCACCAAGCCTACCAGATTTAATCAACATAAACCAGCTTGCTTCATCATGGTCTGAACCGCATCAGCCTGATGGCTTAGGGGCTTCAGACAGAGACCTAATATTTTCTAAGGAGGTTAATGACGTTCTTCTGCGGTCATGCAAGCCTAACACTTGGAAATACTATATGCATAAATGAAGGCAATTTTCCCTCTGGTGTAGTGAGAAGGACGTGCCACCTGGTGGTGCCCCTTTGTGGGTGGTATTCGATTACCTGAAAGCTAAGGGCCTAGCATTTTCATCTTCTTCACCCGGCTGCTATCTCTTGCTATTACAAAGGAGTTGAGGGAGGATCAGTTTTCTCCCATCATTTGCCTGAGAGGTTTCTTAAGGGGTTAGGTAATCTCTAACCACCCACGAATCCTTTAGTGCCCCAATGGTCTCTATCTGTTGTGTTAGCACAGCCTTTTTTGGTATTTGTTTGTGTGTGCACGCATGTGCCTGGAAGTCATGGTTGACTATGGCGACCCCCAGTGGGGCTTGGACATGTCAAAGAGGTGGTTTACTATTGCCTCTGCCTCTGTGTCCCATCCCTGGTATTCCTTGAAGGTCTCCCTTCCAAGTACTTGCCAGGGTCATTCCTGTTTCGCTTCCAAGATCTGACGAGATCGGGCTAGCCTGGGCTATCCAGGTCAGGGCTATGCTCAAGCCTTTTGAACCCCTTGCTACCTGTTCTTTGGTAGAACTTTCTATGAAGATGTGTTTCTTAGTAGCTGATACTGTATTTTTTCCTGCCCTGAGCTCTGAGAATGAGTGCTCATTGCATTCTTTAGATGTCAGAAGGGCATTATTTTACCTCAAGAGAACCCTGGTGGAGTTTCACAGGGATAGAGCCCCATTTGTTTGTTATAGTGGCCCTAAGAGAGATAGGAGATCTCAGACCCTGTCCTGATGGATTGTCAGGACCGTTAGGGAGTGTTATGATAGGCCCAGACTGCCATGCCCATTGAACATTCATGCCCATTCCACTAGGGCAAAGTCTGCTTTCTCAGCTTTCATGGATATGGAGTGTCTTTGATGGAGATCCGCAGAGCTGCCACCTGCATTGGCAGACATGTTTGTATGTCACTACTTTGGATCTGCAGGCAAGACGTAAGGCTCAAGTGGGCAAGGCAGTTCTTTGTTTGCTGTTCAGGTGAGGAGAGCGTGTCCCACTGCCTGGTGAGTAGCTTGCTAGAATCTCTACGTGGGACTGCACAGAAGATGGATGATGAAAACAGTTGCACTTACCTGTAACTATTGATCATCGAGTATCTTCTGTGCAGGCACACATACCATCCTTCCTGCCCCTCTGCATGCTCTGGCTTCGGTGGCACTAGAGATACTGAGGATAAGGGGGCGCTGCTGCGCAGGATCGTGTAGTTCCTGAATGGGAACAAGTTTCTGACTCAGGGGTGCAGTGCCCCTTGGAGGCTTTTAGCTGAAAAAACCTATTTGATGGCAGGCCTGCTCATGCACAGTCCCCATGTGTGCCTGCACAGAAGATACTCAATGAACAATAATTACAGGTAAGTGCAACCCTGTTTTCTTAACATATTCGAGTTTAAGGAAAAAATTCCTGGACTTTAAGACTCTTTTTCGGACAAGTTTATTCTAACTTTATTGAAAGATAATATATAATTAAGGCATAGGTGACCATTGTAAATGTAGGATGCTTGTTAGCTTTGTACAGGATTCAGGACGATTTCTCAATTCCCTGTTACAGTCCCGGAGGCACCAGATCGACCTACTATCTCCACAGCATCAGAGACGTCTGTGTATGTCACTTGGATCCCGCGTGCAAATGGTGGCTCTCCTATCACTGCCTTTAAAGTAGAATATAAACTCATTAGCAAGAGCGGTGACTGGAAGGTTGCAGCTGATAACATCTCCCCTTCCAAACTTTCGGTTGAAGTCCGCTATTTGGAGCCAGGTATGACTATGCACCAGTTATCCTAATCAACAGATAATGTGATTAACATTAGCAGTATGTTCGGAGGCAGCCAAGTTGATCCTATTAAAGCAATGAGGCATTGCTTTAATTTTGTTTGTGTTACGTTTATATCCTACCTTCCTTCCATCATGGAACTCAGGCTGGTCATCTATCTGGACACTGACCAGATCCAGACCTTCTTAGCAAGGTGACTGTGTCGTATGTCTTCCAACCGTAGCCTGGGATTGCCACTGATCCAGTGTAAAAATTCATTAAAAAACATTACCAGTCCCTGCTTCTCTGTTGTGACAAAATCATTTCTGCCCAAGTACCTGAGCAGCATGCTACTGTGAAGCATGAAAGGATGCACCTACTCAGATATGCTTACCTCAAATACAGTGATTCAGTCTCTGGTCTGATGGTGGCCATGCTGCATCCCCCTACCCATTCTTCCCGGCCTGTCTTTTTCTAATAGGAAAAATAAATCTGCTTCATCCAAATAACATTTCTGTACCAGGGATCTCTCTGAACGGGGTATAAATGAATGCCATACTTGACCAGGTCACATGTTACTTTCTGCCCAGAAAGAAAGCAGCAGGGCTGTGTATGCAAACCCGACTTCTCACCCTTTCAACTTGCTGTGTATTTCAAGAGCTGGGTGTCCAGTATTGAGTATTTCCTAAATAGTTATCTGAAAAAAATCTCCTTCCTTCAAGTGGTAAATGGGGGAAAGATGGCCACCTGATGACTTCATAGACATAATCCCTTAGTATAGACTGATTTACAGTGGCTGGACTAGATAACCTGATAGGTTCTTTCCCATGGAACTTTATCCTATCACTTAATGCTCTTCTTCCCCACCCCTTTCTATCATTTGAAAGGAGCCACGTATAAATTCCGGGTGATTGCTATCAATAATTATGGAGAGAGCCCACGAAGTTCTGCATCTCGGCCTTATCAAGTAGCTGGCTTTACCAACCGATTCTCCAACCGTCCCGTAACAGGGCCTCACATTGCTTATACTGAGGCAGTCAGTGATACTCAGATCATGCTAAGATGGACTGTAAGTATCTGTTTCCAATCTCTGGACAGACTGTTGTATGTTTTATAATGCATGTGTATTTCCCAGAACAGTCTATTTCACTTGTTAGTCTCATCATTAAAGCTTATTTCCAAATTATTTTCACTCCTGCTTAGAGGTGGCAAAGATATTTATTGTGATAAATTTAACCCTTTTGCAATAAATGCTTAGTATTATAAGGCAGCAGCTTTTTGTACAGTACCGGCTTTTTTCTTCTCCCCTCCTGCTTCTTGTTTTGTTAACCTACATCTTACTAGCTAGTAAAATTGAGTTGTACACATAGTAAAACACGTACAAAATGAGGCTCATTGTCTTAAGACTTATTGAAATGTAGAACAAGTCTTCTAAATTTGGCTCTGGGGTATTATATAGTTTCTCCATTCTTGTGAGTGGTGTATCTGCAGAATTAAGCATAATTACGGCATATTTGATGTGCAGGAAACCCAAGAAAATGAGAATTAAAACTGCAAACTCTTCTCCAGCCCCTCTGCTTAGTTTATGTTGCTTTTCATTGGGTTTCAGTGAAACAAACCTCATTTTTCAAAACTTCTTCCCAGATAGTTAAATGTGTTCCTTAAGAGCATGTCCATAAATCTTTCAGACTACACTTTTGGGAAATAAAGTGTATATGTTTATATTCCAGTACATCACTTCAAGTAACAACAATACACCTATTCAAGGTTTTTATATCTATTATCGACCAACGGACAGTGACAACGATAGTGACTACAAGCGAGATGTTGTGGAAGGTAAGTTATGTTTTAATGATATGCACAGCTACGGTGTCAGAGGTCCTTTTCACATTACCATTCTAAACCAGATGTTATTCATTGTTGGTCAGAATTTGAATAAAGTGATACAGGGTGGGGGTTTGCAACAGTGAATTTCCTTCTGTTAATGAGCTGTCTCTGAAGCACTATGGCCATTTCCAAAATGCTATAGTGGCATCATCGAGGTATCTGAAAATCTCTTTCCTTCAAGTGCAAAATGGGAAAAAGATGACTACCTGATGAATTCAGTGGTTCAGTAAGCCAATTTGGTGTAGTGGTTTGGAGGGTGGACTCTAATCTGGGCGAACGGGGTTTGATTCCCCACTCCGTGGCATGCAGCTGCTGGTGTGACCTTGGGTCAGTCATAAGTTGTTTCAGAGCTGTTCTCTCAAGGGCAATTCTCAAGAGACCTTTCTCAGCCCTACCTATCTCACAGCATGTCTATTGTAGGGAGGGGAAGGGAAAGGGATGGTAAGCCTCTCTGAGACTCCTTCAGGCAGGGTATAAGTCCACTCTCCTCCTCCCCACATAGAGTCAATGCATCTCAGTGGTGCTGCTATAGCACTTCAGTGCAATAGCATTTTAGTGCTATAGCGCTCACCTTAGAACTTTTTTTTTAAGTCCGAGGAAGATCGCACCGCAAAAACAGGTGTGGGGGGGAAGCGGCATTGTAAAAAGCACTATGGACAGCACACCACAGTGATTCAGAAGCACAATGAAGGGGTTGAAAACAGAAAAAAGCACTTTCCCTCAAAAGTGGCTCAACCACACTTTGCTAACCTGATGCAAGCGCGTTTGTATGAACAGGTAAATAAATTCCGCTAGCAGCTGGTTACTAAAATGTGTCTGTCGGAAATGATAGAAAAAGTCCATTAGCATCCAGTTACTAAAATAGAATACAAAGGCAGTTTGAAAATGGTCATTTACTTAAGAAGGGAAAGAAAGAGGTGCATCAGCTAAAAATATTGTGTTGAGTAAACTGAGAGGTCATAATTGAGAGGTCACAAGCGCATAGATGTCTACTGTAGACCAAGCCTGTGGCTTTTTCAAATGAAGCAGTGACTAATGCTCAGGGGAGTGACCCCTTCTGGACCCCTCTGGAGGCTCGGAATGAGGCACTAGAATAAATTAAACTTCATAAATCTGTCCAAGTGTCATAAAACCAGTCAAGTCCTTCCATGCTATTGGGGGTGTGTGTGTGAAAACTTTAGCCTTGTTGTTCTTGTTCAGTGGTCTGTGTGTGCAACATCGTTGCCCACTTAGTTCCTGTAGACATGCTCAACCTAAGGAACTCTCCTCACTACCTTATTCCTCTGAGTAGTTTGTGGAGTGCATCCTTACTCACTCAGCCTCTTCTCCACCCCTCTGGGAGCACTGGCAGGCAGCTCGGAGCAACAGATGGTAGTGGAAGAACAGGCAGTTGGGCTTGGTGCAAGGATTGCTGTTCCATCATGCCAAACATTAGCGGACTGCAGATTGTCAGGGGATAGATGCAGGACTATATAGCAGCTGTGTCTGCCTTTCAGTGGGAAGGGACCCGTGTGAAAGTGTTGTGTATTGTCTGTGCCTTCTTCAGACGTGCAGAGGGACATCAGTCACAGCCTTTGCTCTCATCCCAGTCTCCTGTCCCTTGGCAGAACCATGGCAGTACCGACCAGGGACCACCCTACCACTCTAGAACTAGAGTGTCTGAAGGAATATATTTCATTTTCATATCCCATGATGTTGTGTGTGGTGTTTTTTTACGGGAGCCAGTTGAATTCCAAATATTCAGAATTACAAACTCCAGATTTGGAAATATTCCAAATAGGGCATTATTCAGTGAATTCTGAATATTTCCAAATTGCACACCCCTGGTTTGTAGTTTTCTATCGTAGTATAGCCTCTCTTGTACACAATCTGTGTTCGTAAATGTTTAAGTGAATTCAACTGTGCTGTAAAATCTGCTCATTTCTGATTGTCTGGTGTATATATGCTGAAATGTTGTGGAACCCTGAAATCACTAGCAGCTGCTGTGCTGCACCAAAGCTTGGAACAGAAAGTTGTATGGCTGTGGGAATGCAATGTACATAAAATAGCCAGAGCTGCTTTTTAATTAAATTATTCCATTCAGCCTCAATTACGTAGAGAAAAATGTATTAAAGGAATATTTTCTGTCCTTTATTCAGATGCTGAGTCACTACAAGTATCCACTTCATTCCATTTAACCTTCAGTGTATCAGATTTTAACAAAGGATTTTCTTTTCCAAATATTGAATTGATAAAAAGGCTTTAGAAATTGTTGTGGTTTTAATTGATAGCCTGAGGTATCATTATAATTTCCTGTTCAGACTTGACTTTTGAGACTGAGTCAAGTCTCTGATAACTTCTTTGTTTATAAGCTGCCGCAACTAAAACTAAATTTCATTTTGCTGTTCATTAGATAGTCGCTGTGTTCTGCCTTTTTGGCAAAAACGCAACAATAAACCTGTTCATCTTATGTGCTGAAACTTTGCATTAAATGCTTTGTTCCTTGAAAGAGAGAGCTTCAAAAATCCTTTCTGATGAAAGGTGCTTACATCTTGCTAGATTTCTTGAAGATCAGAGTTGAAATACTAGTACTGAATCCAGTCCTGATGGTTGGAAGAGGAAACCTAAAACCTGATTTAATTACTGAAAAGAATGTTTGGGATGGAATATGAGAGAAGATGGCCCTAAATCTTTGGCAAATAGCTGCCTTGGGGGAATTCAGACTACCAGATCGTCTTGGATTTGTATTCATACTTGGGGCATATAGTTCAAACATGAATGCATTAAAGCTTTTTTGAAACATTGTTCACCTTCTGAAACTCTTCAGTGTCTTCACGTGCTGTCTAAATAAGAGATTGGCTTTAAACCCAATACAGTTTATTGCTTTCTATGAGCTTGTTGTGATTGGTATCCCCAATATAGGAAGTCAAATGTACACAAATTCTTTTTATAAGGCAGGACAGTCATCTGAGACTCCTCCTAGCCTGGATGATAAGGCACTATTTAGGTTGTTCCTATTTGTGGATGTTCTTGGAGGACTTCAGTGTAGAACTACATGATGTCAAGTCTTGTGACCAATGAAAAAAGTTGTGGTTTTTTTTTAAAAAGTTAATTGCACCATTGTAGTATACTGGCTAAAGTCCAAAGCTTGAACAACTGCATTTTACAAAATGTTCATGTCACAGTTTTATGTAGTTGTCTGATTCAGTCTTTGCCCTTAAGGCTCTGTGTTAAAACAGTAGCTACATTCCACCTGTGAGGCAAGCATGTTAACGAAAATTGTAAAAATAAGATTGTTTTGGGAATGAATTCTAAATCCAGGAGACTGCGGGCATCTGTGTGTGTACTGCTGAGTCCAATTCAAAGTACAGCAGACCACAATTCATTTTTTTGTTTCCAAGTAGTACACAATTCATATTGAACAAAAGGAACATCTGGCTATATTCTTTCTAGGTACAAAGCAGTGGCACTTGATAAGCCACCTGCAGCCTGAAACATCGTATGATATTAAAATGCAGTGTTACAATGAAGGAGGGGAAAGTGAATACAGCAATGTCATGATCTGTGAGACCAAAGGTAAGAGAAGGGGAAGGGAACTGATGTCATATTTCAATCGCTCCTTTCCTTCAAGGAGCCTAGGCTGATTTTACATGTTTCTGTCCTCTTGTATTGGATCTTTAAAAACAATCCTGTGAGGTATGTTAAAGAGACTGCCCAAGGTTACCCAGTATGTCTCATGTGTCTTCCCAGTCCTTATGAAGACACTATACTTCACTAGCTTTCCAATATGTTAAAATAATTAAATATGACTTTGCACACTTAGTAGTCATACTTAAAATCTGACATCTGTCTGTCTATCATCATTTGTTTTGACTTTTAAAAAATTCTCATTGTGTCCACTCCTTAAGTCAACTTTTTGGCTTTGTGGAGACAACACAACAATTTCATCTTTCAGTACATGATTCTAGATTGTATTATTGGAAAACGCTTTTAATATTGTATGCCAATAAAAGGTATTTGAATTGAATTGATTCTAGATGGCCATATCAAACCAAATATGACCACTAAGAAAGCTTCACATCCAGTCCATAAAGCTGCCATATCCCAGATATATCTCAGGCGCACATATTTTCTTTCATGTGGTCCACCTGCATTTAGTTCAAGGCATCAGTGCACAGCATTTGGCAAAGGGTTGCTCAGGAGCTCATTTACATTCATTCTCACTATGGGAACTTGCAAAAGTATGGACATCTGTTTGTAGTAGAGAGATATGAAAGAGGATATATATATATAGATCGTTCATCTAGTCCTGCATCTTGTTCTGCACAGTGGCCACTAACCTTTTGCCCTGGAGTACCAGTGATCAGGACACAGAATCCAAGGCCTTCTGCTGGTGTTGCCTCTTAGCCCCCAAATATAAATTGAAGGCTGCTATGATGCAGTCCCTCCATCTTTCCTTGTTTTATGTTAATTTGGGTTTTGGGGTTGTGGCCATTGGGTGATCCAAAGCAAATATATATTATCCAATAGCTGATTAGCCATTTTAATGTCATTGTAGTTTTAAAGTGATTGTGATATGAATAAAATGGCCTTTATGGTCAAGAGTAATACTTCTGTAGACTCAAACGTCTGCTTGTGGAACATTTTTCACCCCAATCAGTGAAACGTACACCTGGAGCATCGGAATACCCAGTGAAGGACCTTAGCACACCACCTAATTCTCTTGACCGTGGATCTGGGAGTAATGCTGGTCAACCACATGGCCCTGTCCGGAGTAGTGATATGCTGTACCTAATTGTGGGCTGTGTCCTTGGAGTAATGGTCCTTATACTTATAGTTTTCATTGCCATGTGCCTGTGGAAGAACCGTCAGCAAAATGCCATGCAGAGTAAGTTCCTCCTGGTTATACTTAATGTCTTTTGCTGCAGAGCCCAGTGAGATAATTGACTAGTGCAAAGAAACTGTGAACCTCAGTACTTGAGTTGTTATGATTGCCACTGAATAATGTGAAGTTGAGATGGGTGAAGACACTTTGGTCCTTGTATGAAATGTAGTGATTAGAGTTCAATCACATGTCTCCCCCGTCTGTTGACTCTCAAATGTTATATAACACAGATGTATTTTGAGATTGCAGTTTCTGTTGGTTAAGGTGTTTCTCCTGCTCCACACTTTTGCAGAATATGACCCTCCTAGTTACCTCTATGAAGGTGCTGATATCAATGGACAAATGGTTGAGTACACTACATTGCCAGGCACAAGTCGTATCAATGGCAGTATCCATGGAAACTTCATCAGTAATGGAAATGTTGCTAATGGTTGCCATCATCACCACCACAAGATTCCTAATGGAATTAATGGGATCAATGGAATCATGAATGGTGTTGTGAATGGAGAAAATGGTGTTTATCCAGGACACACCAATTCCCTGTCCAGAGCCCATGAGGAATATGAACATACCCATCACCTAGGAAACGTAAGTTAATGTATTAAATCTGTCTCTTGAACATTTAAATCTAGAGAACATGAGCAAATGAAGGCTGTGCCTCTTAATTATGTTGCTAGCTTCATAATGATTTGTATTGTCATCTTGGAAGTTCAGATTATTGGAATCCCGATATGAATATGCTGTCATCTTCACAAGGACTGCAAGCTTCAAGCCTTAAAGAGAGAAATTAGCTTGTATTTCGAAAGACTCCTCAGTTTATAAGGTGTACTCTGAATTTTGAGCATATTAGTTAGTTGGCAATTTTGTGAGATTTTACTGGGATTTTGTGGGTGGTAATTTTGAAATTAAAAAGTTTGGAATCCCGGTGATTCAAGAGACTTGAAAATATGATAGACTTAAAAAGACCAGAAACAAGTATATACATTTTTTAAATCCAATGGTTTCCTTCGCTTAAGTAAATAGCATTCTTCCAGGAGGAGTCATTGGATTCCACCCACTGGGTTGGCCATTCTGAGAACAATTACTGTACAAGTTCAAACAGTTTAGATAACTTGTACCTTTAATGGAAACATGAAGTAAAGAATAGTACTACAAACTGATGGTTGAAAAAGACGTTCAGTCGAAACGTTCCATCCTTAACATCCTCCATCCTTAACATCCTTGGCACTGTGACTGGGCTTCTGTCTTCGGATGAAGTTCACCTAGTAAAATCAAGTAGAAATTTATATGACTTGTTAATGTGTCTTTAACAGTTTGAACTTGTACAGTAATTCTTTCCTGTGTCATTGACTTTACAAATTACTGGGTCCACTTGTGTTGTTCTGCATTCTGAGAACAAGGCAGGCACTGCTGCTTGCAGAAAGGCTCTGCATCTCTGGCTTCTTCCAGTTCCCCCTTCTGACTGCTGCCCCATGCCATAATGTACACAATTTTGAAGGGCCCCTAGACACTTGGGAGCAACTTTTCTAGGACATAATGAAGGCAGCAAACAGAAGTGCTGCACAAATGGAATATCACTTTCAGTTTTCCGTATCCTCCCCATAATTTCTAGAGTCCTTGCCAAGTTTTTCAGTGGAGAAAAATAGTTGATGTCTGAGGTAAAAACAACTCTCTTCACTTGATGGGTATAATCAGGTAGTGAACATTCATATGTTCAACCATCCTATAGTATAATACATCCAGATACTTCTGTAGAGGCACCATATGGCAGACTTCTGCATGCTTGAGACTTTATGTTATTAATTATGTAAAATGCAATTATATAATATGTAGCCAGTGAGGTTACTTTTGCAGGGTATAGCAGCCAGAGAAGGTGTCTATTCCCCATGTAGGACTCCATGGAGAGCAACACCCTCTTTCTCCCCACTTCACACCTAACATAGGTGGTAATCCCCATTGGTAGGACACGAAAAAACTATAGTTTCCCACCCACCACCCACCTCCCAAAGAGCAGAGCATATAAGATCCTTCGATATCAAGTTGGCAGACCCACCCTAAAGACATTGTAAATCAACAGGATTGTTTAGTGTGGAGCTGGGATAGATATGTATGTGGGGGAAGCATAAGTAGTGGCCTTTATCCCCTCATGTTAGCTACTTTAAAACAACAAAAGCTTTCCTTTACAAAATGAAATAGTTTTTAACTGTTTTGTATGTCCTCAGAACATTCAGTGTACCCATTTAGAGATCTTTCTGTCTTGTTCTGTTAGTGTTAAATTGGGGAGTTTGAGAGTGTTTTCCATGTGATCATGTTTTGCTTTTGAAGCAAATAATGTGGGTTGCTCTTATGAGTTGAGAGCATCTTTCCACTTTGTTGCAAGTATTAAATTGGTCTTGTCGCTAATCGAAATATCATTATTGTCTGTTGAAATGTATGGGTTATATCTAAGCCAACACTAGTCCTACTCAAAACAGTACATGTTATTTCTAGGTGAAATTAAAGGAAAGTTGAAAAGTTGACCTAGTTTGCTTGTAGTCAGAGGGAAATGGAGCTGTCTGCTTTGGTGACTGAACCTAAGCCCTTCGCTTCATTGAGAAACAGCCACTGTTAAGAGTTATTACTTCAGATAACCTCTCAAGCCTTCAGCATCATCTTCCTGATTTTTGAAGGACTTTTCAATGACTGATTTAGAAATACCTAAACACAAGTCAATAGGTGACAGGTTGAGCCAGCCCCTGTAAAAATCAAAGCAAGGCTGCATTCACGTCACAAAGGTTTGTTCTTGATCAGTACAAACCTGGCTTCTTGTACTTGCACAGTCCCTCCCTCCTCTCCTTGCTTACAACTTGCAAACTCCATTCACTGTGATAGCCACACTAGTTTAGAATTCAGTGTTGCATGCAAGAGAAATGCCGTGTTTCCAGCCTCTGCACTCTTAGGCTTTCTAGATGCAGAAGTGTTCGTGTTTCATGCAAATGGGCTGGGAGAGGAAGGAGAGAGCACAACAGAATGCCAGGTTCACACTGCACTCCTTGCCCATGAATGCCCTAGAGAGTAGTGGGAGATCTGTGTGTATGTGAGAGAGAGAGAAGGGGCTTTCACTCAGGAGCACAGGAAAATACTACCAGAACATTAGTAGAAGTTAGTTGTTGTAGATTTTCTGGGCTGTATGGCCATACATACAGACCGCGGCCACACAGCCTGGAAAGTCTACAACAATTAATGAACTGTAGCCGTGAAAGCCTTCGACAACATTAGTAGAAGTGTTACAGAAACTTAATAAAGGCTGCGGTCACACGGAACAGAAGCCACACAAGTGAGACGGAAAACAGGCGGAGTTTCCGGACGCGATCTCACCAGCACATCTGGGAAGCGTAGCACTCCCGTGGCACAACCGAGGCTTCCAGCCGAAACTGCGTGGCAAAAAACTAGTACCTCAGAGGTACTAGTTTCCGGAAACTGCGGGGCAAGGGCGGGCGTCTGATCGCGTTTCCGGTGGCATCCTGCGCCCGCCCATGTCCCCTTGCAAATAAGGTCTTTTTTTTTTGTCCACGTCTCTGTGAATGCGCACACGCACCCAACGGAGCATGCGCATTCGTCGTGTACACACAAAACCAAAACAGTTTGCCGCGGCACGCGCTTCTTCGTTGCGCGCCGGCTTGTCCTGTGATCAGCACCTCTCCCTTGCCATGGAACCTCCACGTTACCTCCACAGGACCTCCACGGGAGGTCTGATTGAGTAACTGCGCAGTAGTTTGCCCCAGGGCAAACAGCCACGCTTCTCCCCCGCAGTTTCCTGCCCGTGTGACCGGGGCCAAAGAAACAAAACCAAGGAGCTAACTTAGCTTGCAGGAGTCACTGGTTTAACCTTGACATTGCCTTCAGATGAATGACACAGGCTAAACTGGGATGTTGAAATAGGGGCAGGTCAAGGCACTTTGCTTCCCCCATTTCCTGGTCCGTGGCTTGCACAGCTTATCACAGCGCGCTAAACGTTTTTAACTCTGTCAAAGATGGAGGGTTTCTCGGACCTGTCCTGAAGTAGGGTTGGAGTCTGCACTCTTCCACCATTCCCTTTACCCAGTCATAATCAGGAGCACATCCTTGTTGTTTATGGCTCTAACTCAGGGTACCCTAACAGCTGTCTGGTAGGTGAGCAAATGGTTATTGCTTCCCTGCCTATCTGTCTCCATAAGGGGAACCAGTTCCTTCAACCCCCAAGGATTTTATTGGCTTAGTTTCCAGGCTAGAGTGTTTTCTGTGAGGCCAGGACCTCTCATTGTGTTAACTGAGGCATCCAGCATTTCCTTATCGCAATATGTTCCTGTTGCAAACTGTCCAGCTGTTTGCCATGTCCGAGTAGGACCAAAGTATCAAAGCATGTTTGACTTGTAGGATTATTCCAGGTGCCCAAACTTGGAACTGACAGCTAATTTTCTTCACTAGTCACGATTTTGATTTCAGTGTTTTTAAGTTGTGTTTCGCTTCAGAAAGCCTTCAGAGTGGTGTACAATAAAACAAATGTTAACTTAAAACAAGGGTAGAAGCAGTAACAGATAAACCCGTACTATCACAGCAGAATCAGTCAATCTTTATATTCAAGTTTATTACAGTCATAGACCAGTATCATAGAAGACAAGTAAATACAGTTAAGGGAGCAATAAAATTATAAAATACAATGGCATCTAAAATTATAAATAAGGATCTAAAAACTTTAAAATACAGATATAATAGAATCAAAATTATGATCAAAGGTTAGGTTTAGGCCTATCTGAACTTTATCTCTTTCCTAGTTTGGTATGCCAACCAACCAAATTTGGCAACCATCCTAGTCAGCTTTTGATTATCTCCTGCCAGCATAATTGACAAAAGTGTCCTTCTATTACGACCTGGGAAGGAGTTAACTATCGGCTTGATCAAAACTCCCTTGATATTATGATATATAAGACAATCAAAAATTACATGTTCCAATGTTTCCAATCAGGTCCCATCCCACATATACAACTTTTCCTCAGTGATCTAGTAAATCTGGCCTCCATTATGGCTGAGGGTAAGGCACTGTATCTTAATAGGGTAAAAATTCTTCTATGATTGCTGATATGATTGCAAGGATGACATGCAAATTTGTGAAGTGTCAATCTTTATAGTCTTGGAGAATTAAAACAACCTGGCATTTGAAACAGAAGTGTAAGAACCTCATGAATCTGTATGGGGGAGGAACACGGCATTGTAAAAGACCCTCTGTAGATGCCACCTGCCTGACTTCTGAAAGGCAAACTTCTTCTGCAAGCGAATCTGACTCATATGGGAGAAGGCAGTCTGTCAAATCCTGTTCTCCCCAGCTGTTCAGGTTTTCAGGGTCAAAGCCCGCACCTTGAATTGTGCCTGGGAACGCACTGACAGCCAGCAGAGACCTTTTATCAGTGGCATTCATTTGTACTTAAGAGTATAAAATACTTGTGCCTGAAGGGCATGTGTATACATTCCTTAAATTTTTTTCTTGGTCACCAGTTCTGAATATTTTTGAAGGGTTGTATGCCAAATTTCTGCGACATACTTGCCCCCATTAAGACTGAAGAGCATGTTTTTCTAATTTTGAGTATCCAACATATGAATGGGCATAAGTCTCATACAGGCTTGTCTCTTGAATCTTAAAACCCTTCAACTCCCAGAATTCAATATTGCCCTCAGGGAATGGACCAAAATGTCATCTGGCTTCCATAGACTGCTAAATAAAGTAAGAGTAGACCTGTTTTTTTACAGTCTGAGTACAAGTACGTAAGTGCAGATTTTCTCTTGCCACCTGTACAGCCTCATTTTCAAATAGTTTTCAAATCTGTATCCACCTACTATTCAGCAGTGAGGTATGTGTTAATCTAGGCATTTTTATTTGCAAAGGATTCTGTGGCCAAAACCAACAACTCAGAATCCCTCTCACTCCCAAATAACTCTTGGCTGATGAATTACTACATCTGTAAAAATACAGAAAATTTCGAAACAAGTTTAGTGAAGCAAACTGATCTAATTAGAGTAATTGCAAGAAAGTAGGACAGATTCTTAGGTCAGACACATATAACACACTGTTCTCACAAAACAGATAATTCTCTAATGTCTGACATCAGTGTTAGAGCGGTTTCAGCTTTTGGTGAATTTGGGTGTTTTAACTCTGAAAAGGGGGCCAAGGAAATTACTAGGGACATGTCTAAGCTATGGGTACCTGCTTTGCTCTAGCACAAATGCTGAAATTTCTGCTTCACAAAACAGAAACTTGGCAGTGATATGTGTCCTGCCTTCCAGATAAATGACAGCTGTCATTTAGGCTGGAATTAAAATCTTTTGCACTGACTGGTGTCCATTTGTCACAGCATCCTTTAATGCCTTGTATTTATTCTGAGTTCGGTTTCTTTTTCTGAATCATCCAGGGTGGTGGACTGTACACAGCAGTGCCTCAGACAGACCCTTCTGAATGCGCCAACTGCCGGAACTGTCGGAACAATAACAGGTAATAGATGGAGGGGAGATAGGTGGTGGTGGTGGGAGAATCTGAGCTCTCTGCCTTCAGGTTCTTTGTGCTCAAGACACTTGCTGTATTTTAGTGACCACAGAGCTGTCAAAATAAGATTTCTTATTCAGTTATTGAATACCTGACAAGAATGCATTAACTTTTTCCTAGCTTCTGTACATTCACGGCCAAGCCACCACTCAGAACTTTTTAAGTTGGGGAGCTTAGTATGAATTAACCAAAGTCCGTGGCACTGGATAATATCATAAGGTTTTCTGACATTTGTATCTACGCCCATTGCTTCTACAAAGTGGAGGAAATTAAACTAGGAAATTAAACCTCAACATTTGTTGAGGCAACTCACGTTTTGAATAATTGCTTTTGAATTGAATCCTGGCTGAACAGCTAGACCTTAGTTAAAATAAAACATGTTTTTGCATTAGGGAAGACTTAGAAGTAGTAGGAACACAGGTAACCCAAATGCTGGGTGTAATATGGTCATTATCAGATGCACCAGCTTTACCCTTTTGTAAAAGTTGCCCTACACTTTCTGCCTCCATCATCGGTAAGATCCTAAAGAATAAACCAGTCTGAGATTCAAAGAGTACTGTGCATGTGCCATAGTTTCTTGGATTTCCATCAGTTAGTTACTTGGCACCTATCTGATGAAGGCAGCTTTGATTGTCAAAAGCTTATACCCCAAAAATCTTCGCAGTCTCTAAGGTTCTACTGGACTCAAGCCAATTCATCAATGGCAGAACACGGCTGCCCTCCCAAAATTTCCTTGGCCCATTAGCATTCCAGCTCTCTGGATTGGCTTTTTAGGGTTAATGATGGGGGGATGTAGTGAAGCTGGATGTCAACAAAGTCCTAGTTCATGGGTCAAAGCTTCTGTATGCAAGCAGAACTTCCATCCTTACAGCCCTTTGGATACCCCACTTAATTTTTATAACTTGCATGTGGTTGTCAGCTTGAAACTTAGCTGTCCAGGATTTTGGGGAGGGAGTAGAGGAGAGACATTGAATTACCTAGCACTAACTTGGATCTTCTTTTGCACTCTGTTGACCAAACTGAGCCTTTAGATCAAACAAAGTCAATGTTTGTAGATGGACAGGATGAAGATTTTAGTAGTTGGACTGCTATGAATAAACCTAAAGTAATTTTTATACTTCAAGAGATGATGAAATACACTCCTTGTGCTGGCTGTATATTTTGAGCTCTAGTGGCTTATGCAGAAAGGGAGAACCCTTTAGCAAACAGTTTAAGTTCATTTGTGGCAAAATATAGTAGCAGACTTCTTTCCTCTCAATGTAAAGCTAGTGGAAATTAAATAGTTTAGCCCTTCAGACAGTCCTAATTCCTCTGCTGTTAGCTTAAACATAGCTCCTAAAGCCACTTGTTGTATTATAGAACAACTACTGTAGTATGTGTAATAGTTCTTGGAGTTGTTAATTGTGAGGCAGTTACATATATTTTGGTATCCATGTGGAATAAACATCATCACTTTCCTTGGAATCACTGCAGTCCACAGTTGCACAACCCTGGGCTTGTAGCTGCCTGTGTCCTGAGTCGTTCAGATATAGGTGTTGATTACCATAGATACACAAGATCACGCTAACTAGGACAAATTTTATTTACTTTCTAGCTCTGTGGCATAACAGCTATTCAGTGTAAACTGCAAGTAGACTAAAAATACTCAGTATGCTGCAATGCTATAGCTTCCAAAAATCAGATCTTGCAGCATTTTTAAAAATGCTGAGGGGGAAGGGAAATGTGTTTTTGTGAGAGGAAGCCACAGATAACACCTCTTTTGTGTGCATTTTGTGTTGTGGTGGAAGAAGGGTGGGGGATCCTTGATATGAGATTCCTGTAAGGGGATATAGGAGGGATCTGAAAACTCTCGCATGTAAGGCTCCAAGCAGTAATTGTGTGGACTTCTGTTTAGGTATATACCGAGACTGTTGACTTGACTAAATCAGCCATGCATGAAAGTAGAATGGCAAGGTTGTTCTTGATGGCTGTCTCATAGCTATGAAACTCTCCTCTTCTAGAGTTCCATCAAAATCTGAACCTGGATTCCTTCCAGAACTATTCTAAGCCACCCTTGTTTCAGACTGATGTTTACCAGAATTAAGCAGGCGTGGAATTACTTTTTCTTTCTACATTTTAAATGGTTAGTCTCAACATCAGTTTTGTAATTGCCAGCTGAAAACAGCAACAGAGTGAGGGGGGAATATATGACACAGCAGAGTAAATAGTCCTTCCTAGGAAACATAGCATAATTATTTTGGACTTAATTTTGAGGTTCTCAGAGTGTGTGGGCTGGGACTTCCCTGGAGGATTAAGACTTGGCAAGGGGAGGAGCGCAAGTGCATGTCCAGATACCATGAATGATCCAGCACTGCTGGAGGACCTGCAGTGGATGAAACGTGTTTTTTGAGCTCCTCGCTGACACCTTGTATGAAGAACAGCTGAAGGAGCGTCTTGGTTGTTCTCTTTCAGATTAATGCCTAGAGCAGTTAAGCAGTCCCCATTGCCAGACAAGAGAATGGCAGTGACCAGCGTTTGGGAACTTGTGAGAGCACTCCTGCCAAGTCTTTAACATCTGTTTGCTGTAGTCTACAGATCGTTGCATGCAGCAGTGGGATGTTTGCTGCTTTGCATTAGAATCTGTACCCCACACACACACATACGCTGAACAAGGGGCTAGACGAGTGTGGGGATAGTGTAAGTGTGAAGGGGAGAGTTCATTCCAAGTTTGAGGAAATAATTGACATATCCTACAAAGAAGACTTTCAAGATTGTGGTGGTGAAGAACATAAGAGAAGCCAATGTTGGATCAGGCCAATGGCCCATCTAGTCCAACTCTCTGTCACACCATGGCCAAAAATACCAGGTGACATCAGGAGGTCCAGCAGTGGGGCCAGGACACTAGAAGCCCTCCCACTGTTGACCCCCCCAAAAAAAAGCTCCAAGAATACAGAGCATCAGTTGCCCCAGACTGAGAGTTCCTATCTGTACCTTGTGGCTAATAGCCACTGATGGAGCTCTGCTTTGGCCATATAAGCATAACATTTGTGTTACTTGGATTTTATCTACACTTCTCCCCTCTTCATCTCACCTCCATACCCTTTAACTTCTGTGTCTTCTGTGGGACAACCTCTTAATCCAGATCTCCAAGCAAAACAGGGCCTGGGTACATGTAACTGCATCTGCTCATATTTCATACCCTTCTCTCCTGTTCCTCTCCTCCTCAGTCAATGTAGGTTGTTTGTATCCTTTTGTGTGTGTGCACTTCTGTAAAGGGCTTTGTTCATTGTCAGTTCTGTATGAATGAATAATAAAACATCTTTTCATTACGATTCTGCTTCTGTAGTTAGAAAAGTTCCACTTACAATAAAGTTTGCCCTGTAGTTATAATTATGCAGTTTTGCAGTGACTAGCAATAAATGGTGATGTTGGCCAAGAGCCATTAAGACAAAGGTGCCTATTAATAAGCGCCTATGAGATAATAAGTGTCTATGAGATAATTATGGATGGTCAGCAGGCCACAGGCTCCATGAAAATTCACAAAAGGTCAAATTTTACACCAGAAATTCCCTCTACAGGAGGGGGTCTCCTGTAGTCATTTCAACTTGTTTTTACAACCCAGCCGTTGTCTACTAAGCAGTCACCCAGTAACTTCCCAACAAATCCTCCAGCAATTGGGGCTTCCTGTGGCCATCAGGATCTAAAACAGTAAAAGGAAAGTGTGTCATTCAGAACAAAGTTTGAGTCCAGTGGCACCTTTAAGACCAACAAAGTTTTATTCAAGGTATAAGCTCTCGTGTACCGTGAATAAAACTTCATTGGTCTTAAAGGTATCACTAGACTCAAACTTTGTTCTGTCATTCAGAGTAAAACTAATGCTGCTTCAACCACCCTCTTAGAATAATTCCAGAAACACATTATATGCTTTATATTATATGTCAGTCCTAAATATAAGATGTAGTTGTTTTTATTAGATTAAAAATTAATTACAAATGCTGATGCTAGTTAGCATTTACTCTTGAGTTGTTAAAAAAGCAAGCTGATAACAGCCCCAGTGTCCTTGGGTCCCTGAGCTGCAAACATTTACAGCGCTGGCAGTTTCCCATTGCTTTGTGGATTAGTGCCAGGCATGTCTACAAAGGATTTTAGCTGTAAGCTGCCTTTTTTGTTGTTCAAAGGCTAAGTAGCTTCGCCTAGAAGGAATGGACTTCCTTCACTGCTTGACTAGCCTTTCACAATTCAGAATTCTCAGAGATTCTTTCTGGGAAGAGTCGGGAAGCATGTTCTCACTTCTTAGGTTTACAATGGTGAAGAATTCAATATTGGATGTAATTGCTCTATCAGCAGCTCTCGGGCTGGGGTGAAGTTACCAGCTCAGAGAATAAATTGATTAAAGCTCTTGCAATTTCTAAGGGCAAAACTACATGTTATGTGTAGCCTGTGATGATTATTTTTCCAGACTTTTCTATGTGTTGTAGCTGGGGGGAAGACCAGCATGTGTGTGTTGGGGGGGGGGGGGGAGGCTTTAACTTTCTCTCCATCCCATTTTCCCCACTGAAATTCACCACCTCCAAGCTGCAGTGTGTGTGTGTGGGGGGGAATGGCAGGTATTTGTACACATCCCCTAGCAGGGGTAAAAGCTGCTTGCAATTAGCAATTTTTCAGTAGGCAAAAAAGTTATAAGGAGAGCTAAATAGCTCCTCTTCCCTTGCTGTGGTTATAATCAGGCTGTATTTTTTTTAATGTCTGGTGGAAACCAAAGTCTTACACCCTGTGTAGTTTTACCCTAAAGTTGTTCCAGTAAAACAGAGCGATGTTACAATATGGCATGCCACCAGAGGTGGTTTTAAAATGCTGACTGTGATTACTCTGCGTATTTTATGGGAGGACAACAAAAAAGCATTGGTATGTTTGGAATTTTCACTGTCTCTCCCCCCCCCCCTTTAAAATTGCAGGTGTTTCACTAAAACTGGCACTTTCGGCAGCAGCTCTGTACCCATGATGCCCATCATAGCACCTTATCAGCAGGACAGTTTAGAAATGAAGCCGCTGAATCACGTGATGGTTGCTATGTGCTTAACGCCTCCAGTCCCCGGGTGCAATGTTGAGACTGAAGCGGATGGCAAGGAGAACTCGGAGTCCCCTTCTTCTCAGGATCCTCGCTGCCAAGAAAATGTGAATCCGCTCAATACCGATTGTACAGAAGGTATACCAGAGTTTGGATTGGGGGGGGGGGGGGGGGAGATACAGTTGGCTTCCAAGTGGCTGCTGTTTACGTCCAGATGCCCTAAAACATCGGCCCAGAACCAAGATTAGACAAAGATTAATTGCCGAAATATTTTGTGGTTCCCAGTGTATGTCAGGAAGGCTCAAGGTTCCAGCGCCTTCCAGGATGCTTTGCTTAAATTATGAACTTACGTTGGTTTCTTAATGGATTTCATCCAATACTCTCCCCAGATTATGTAGTGATGACTGATTTATTTTAATCGCACTGCTAATTTATTCAAATCCCTGCCAGGACCACCTTCGGCTGTGATCTTATATTTCAGCAGCTAAGATTAATCAGGCTGCATTCTTAAGGCAGAGGAGCTGCAGGGAGGGAGGAGTGTGTGTGCTGATGATTCAGCAGATGACTGCCTTGCTTCTGAGCTAGATGGGGCTTGCACCAAGCCTCCTGGATTCTTGATAATGCGTAGAGGTTGCCAGAGTACTGTAACACTAGTTAGTAATTGTTGCTTTTGATTTGCAGAGAACAGTTCTCATTTGGAAACCAATCATATGCTGAGTTGGAGCCCACTTATTCTTCAGCCTCTTCCAAAGGACTGTAATGAAAAAACAGAAGGGATTTCGAACGGTGTTACCTTGGACAGTTTGGGGGGTCTTCGACAGCTCCACCTACAGGAGACTTGAGGAAGTGACCGTTTCCCCCTCTTAAAGCCAGTAGCTGCACAGCAGAGTCGCTGAAAGGGACTGATGACAGGATGTTAATTATAAGAGTCACTATTTATTATTGGGGTGTAGTGTCCTATGAATGTAATTTTTTTAAAAAAAATATTTTGCCTTTTCATATTATTTATGTCTTGAGAAATTCTTCCCCAACCCTTCCAGGTTGAAACCTTGGTGATTATCTAATAAGTCTGTAATAATTATTGGGAAACATATGGCTAGATACTGTTTTAGAAAAGCACTCTTGCAGCAGAGTGGGGTGGATCCAGCCAGCTTTTCTGCTGATAAAAAAGGGCGGAAGGGATCCCCTTGGATCACCTCGAAAGGTTATGCTGGCATCATGAGACCTGCGTGAGCAAAAGCCAGTTGGGACAGAGGCTGTAGTAAGCAGGGGAGTTGGACGAGATTGAGTGGAAGAAGTTGATTGGCTCCACCCTGGTGGAAGCATTTGTCAAACCTGCTTTCTGGAAATGGTTTAGACTCTAGTTTGTCTGCAGTTTAAGCAACTAAAGTTTGGGCTCTAATCCGTCAGGAAGATTGGAGCAAGTAGAAGCAGAACAAATTGAAGCATTGCTCCAAAAGACCCAGCTGTTTAAACTATTTACAGCACATTAGCAAAATTAAAAACTGTAAAATGAAGTGGTTGCCTTTGTACCAGGCACTATGCTAATCCCAACTCTGCATGCCAAACAGGTCAGTCAGTACTGGTGAAAGCTGGCTGTTTAATGGCATGCTTTGATGTGGCTCATTTAAGTGACTGTTCTAGTCTGGAGTGCAGAGTACTTATTGTACTAGTCCTAGGTAGGAAGAGATAATATATCTTGGAGAAATTCACGTCGGCAAAAACATAGATAGCCCTTCCTGCTGGGTGGAAGAGTTAAGCGTGGCATTCCCTTACTGTTTTCTTGTGGTATATGCTTTTTTTTCTTCTTCCTTGGGCTGGGTTATTTTTTCTAATGACATGGTAGTGGCTATGCAAAAAAAAGAAAAGTCTTGATGTATCTGTGGGTTAGGAAAGCAGACAAAAAGAATTAGAAACAGCTCCTCCCCCTGTTCTATTGCTGAGGGTGCCGTGTAGTTAACTGAATGGACACATGCAAAATAAAGTTTATACCGAAGAGAAACTATGGGGGAATGGCCACAGTGAGGGAGATTAGAATGCTTGTGTAGACTAATCACAAGGAAATTAGTGCCTTTTAGTCGATGCACTAATTTAATGCAAAAAAAAAAAAGGTGAGCATTAAATGGGGGCAATTTGGGGGGGATGAGGTGCAGACTGCACTAGCTGTTGGCAGCTGTGTTGAGGAGCCCATCTTGTGAAGCAGTTGGTGCAAATATATCTTACATGAGAATCAAAAGCTTCTGTGCTCCTTGTTGGAAGTTGGTCCAGGAAAAGGTTCTGCCGTGCCTGTTTTGTAAATACACTGGAGCGGGGGGGAAAAGGGGGGGGGAAATCAAGCATTTATTATTAGGTTTCTGCTAAATGTTTTTGCTGTGTTTGGTTTATGTACTGGCTTCCAAATGGAATCCCTTTGCCTTGGTCTTTTCCAAAGATATCTGTGCTTATACTGTCTTTAATGTCTTTTCAAAATGTTGGGAGTAGGGCGTATCTATGCAAAGCTGGGCAGCTAGGAATAGTATTGCAGAATCCCCGCTTCACCTTATCGACAAAAAAAATGCAACAGGATCCACTTCACCCTGTGCTGTTAAGATGTGGTGTCAGTCTTGCCACAAATTGTGTAACGGCTGTGTATGTAGCTTTAAGAAACCCGCCTGTGTCTCAAAAATAGCTGAGGGTGTATGGTGTATGTCTCACAAGGCAAGCTGCATATTTCCCCCTCCCAGTTTAACCAGCATAAATAAAACAAACTTGCACTTGTAAAACACCTTTTTCCAAGAATCAGAGGCACATAAATTTAAAATTACGGTTGCCCCAAGGCAATATGAATTCATTTTTCGTAGCTGGAGCCAGGAACCAGAAACACCCCATTCAAGGGGGAGGCGGAAGAGGGCAAAGTTGCCCAAATAGAAATTGCAACAGCCCCCACCCCCCCATGGAAGAG